TAATCAAAATGAGTATACGTGACAGGACACTTTGTGTCGTTTGTCAAACAACTTGAACAGATCAACAGGAACTCGTTAGTATGATGCACTTGTAATTACTTATGAAGTCTAATCAATATCACAGTTACAAATATCACTGCAAAGCTATCTATGTCATTAAAATCAATTAACGTTCACGAACTGATATACTGATAAGCTTTGTAAATCACTTCACGTACATACTTATGTTTCTATCAGTCATCGAATCCACAAATCCAATTATTTCTAAGCTTATATTATTATAATTCATAGCTTAAATTAAAAAAATTATGCTCCGAAGCTAGATGGATCAAATCTAGTGACCTTTGACCTATTTTTTTATGATATGAACGACTAAACTGATTTAGCTTACTGACTTCAGATAATTTTAATGTGAATTAACATATGAAATTTTACTTATGACTGTTACCCCTCATGGAAGAGAATAGACCGCTTAACAAAATTTTCCATCCAACTCTGTCCTGGGCGATCCTATCCAGTTGTCTACAGTTGCTATTGAACTTTTCATGTTTGATCCCGATTCTTTAACAATCAATATATACTTGTTTTATGAAATCATAATATCTGATATTTAAAAAACTCATGAATCTCAAGGAGAACTAAGTAGCTATTTCATTTCAATCTCCCGACCGTTGTTGCTACCTTGACATGGTGGTCGGGCTTGCCTATCGTGATGAAGCAACCGAGCTATACTGCCTGGAACAACTGTTCCTCAAGGTCCTACCATGTCAGAAAGGTCGGTTGATGAGCGGTAAGACTAAAAGCAATAAACCCAAGGTCCGAAGGCGAAGTCGTACCGCTGACTGTACAGAGGTGTGACAGTAGTAAGGTGTTTCCTTCAGACAACCAGCATGACAGCGATGCTACCTTCCCACAAGGAGGGGTGGGGTTAGAAAAGGTCGACCCTAAAAATGCACACCCCACTTTATCCCACGGATATCCGTCTCCCACTTTATCCCACGGATATCCGTCTCCGGCGGTAAGGTCCCAAAAAGTACGGAGCTAACACAAAAATTACCCATAAAAAGGTCGTGCGTGACCGACCTCGAGAAGTTGTCCTTTGGGCACTGCGGTCACGCTCCCATGTCACTAAGACCACCTTTAATCCAATTTCCTTCTCAGGTACCTCCAGAACAACCCTACCACGGTGTGGGCAACCGGGAAGTGATAACCACCTTTATACTTCTAACAGCACTCAAGACCACTGTATTCATTTCAATCTCAAACATTTTAATCATATATACTCACTATTTCAAATAGAATTGTGGATAACAAGATGAGGGTAAATCAGACAACCGTAAATGATAGATGATTAACATTAAGTTATACTGAAAACTCGCTAAATTTGAAAAAAGAAAAAGAAAGAACGATTAAATATTAACTGAATAATGAATTAGTGTTGTATTTTGTAACGAAGATTAATTGCCTCAGGTCAGGAGTATACACTGTTGAAGAAAGTTCCTTTTGGCGATTATTACTTTGAAATAGTTCTCTAAATTATATTGGTTTGAATAATCCAATAAGAAGACGAAAGTTGTCGGAATTATGTGAAAGTTGAATAAAATCACAAAACCAAATAAAAATCTTATATTAAATCAGAATGAGGATTTATGAAGATTGTAGTAATTTTAATATTTGAATTCATGAGTTGATTTAAGCTGGATTATCACTGAAAAGCTGGAAGCACTTGAAGACCGATTACCTTCTAGTGCCAGACTCTTCAGTAGTGCGCATCCACTATCCTGCATGCGAGACTCGAGTCCAGGACCTTCAATGTCGTGCGCAAACGCTTAACCTCCAGACCATTGAGCCGGTATTCAAGAGTGTTAATGTCTAACCTCAAACAATCCACGATATTGCGCGACCGTCTACCATTGTTTTCAGTGAGTAACTACCTCACAACAAACATGGCTGAACTCCACTGGTCACAGCTCCTCAGTAGAAAGCCACCTTGAAGCCAGTAACTAGTGAGTACATGATGATTATTATCAGAATGGGGGTTCGTGGAGATTGCAGTAATTTTAATAGTTGGATGCTCACTGCTGAGGAGTCCCGCGCTAGGATGAAACGGCTGTCCAGCGCTTCCAACTTTTCAACGGTATTCTAGCTTAAATCGATTCACGGATTCGACCTATGTTAAATCTTTGGAAATTCGAAAAGTTCCGTAAGTCGCATTGAGTGAATAACTGTTGAGATATTTTAGATACACTTACACGCTAACACTTAAAATAACCGAGAAAAATTCCAGGTTTTAAGTATCCAACAGCTTTGGTGCTAGAAATGAGCACACTACCTTTCTTAAACTCAAAACTACTATTATGGGTAACACTTCATTAAAAGCATGAATAAGAGTGCGTGTTGTTGAAAGTTAAATGTATTGTTTCAAAATAATTTCACATAATCCAATAGCCTATTAAATATCAAGTGATGTTGAATATCTTTTTTCTCACTCTCTGTTAGAAAGGCCTCGATCATCTAGTTTTTTTTTATTTTCGTTAAAAAATTATATCAGGACCTCGGCAACTCCTAATTTATATTAGTACGCTGACCTTTTCTACAAATGATCTGACTGATAGTCTTTTCTTATGGCTTGTTATTTTGCTATATGTTCCCAAGGTTATCATCCTTACCCTGTAAACAAAACTATTGTATTCGAAATTGACTTTTGCTGGGAATATTAAAACTCTCCTAAAACTCAGTCTTCTCTCTTTCATTTATTCGTGTGTGGACCGAAGTGTCATTGAGTAATATTGATATGATTTGTCTAGTTCGTTTGGACCCCTTCTCTTATAATCCCTTTCAATTTACAGTTTATATATTTATTATAGCTTATAACGGATAAGAGTGAGAAATCGCTGATCGCTTTGTGATATGAATCTTTACTTTTAACCATTTATTTTGATGATTGATCAGTAACTCATAATCATACTATTTTCATTGAATATAATGTACAGAAACGATTGTTAAAATTCCCTAGTATGTATGTATATATGCACGTAACCAATCAGCTGGTCAAGTAATCTTGTCTCCCAGATTATATTCTGTGAGAATTTCAGATAAAATGGAAAAGAAGTACTTAATATGATACCTCTATTCAATCTAGAATTCAAGGAACTCCAGTTTATCTGTGGCGCTGGTTTTTTTTTCAGTGACTCCCTTTCTAGTTCAAATTGTCCAAAAAGACGATCATAGCTAATAACTTCCTTGACAAAACGTACAAGAATGTATAAATGAGTTACTGAACAATACGTTTTTTCAATGAGTACAGACACTTGGTAGAACCCAATTATCACAATAGGAAAAATATTTCTATCAGTCAAGACAACAAGTAAAAGGATGGAATAGTTCATTTTGCTACAAATATGACTAATCAATAGCAATCAACAGCAAATATCCTAATAAAAAGAACAAACAAGAAATGTGCTTATATTTCAGTAATATAGAGCAAAATCAATCAGTTCACACACTCGAAATATAAACAAAGTGATTCAATATCTCAACCGCTTCTAAGTAAAGTTATTTTAACCAAAAAAAGTTCACAACACAGATGAGTTTTAGTCAGTTTCAGAACCTGTAAATACTTTAATACCATTAGAATGGGTTTTGCGGAAATTTTACAAATTTCACAGATTGAAATCATGAGTCAGTTGAAGCTAGACCACCATTGAAAACCTGGAAGCACTGGACGGCCGTTTCGTCCTAGTATGGGACTCCTCAGCAGTGCGCATCCACGATCCCGCACCACGCGGGGCTCGAACCCAACTGACTCATGATTTCAATCTGTGAAATTTCTAAAATCTCCACAAAACCCATTCTGATAATAATAATCAACTGCTTACTAGTGACTGACTTCAGGAAAAACTCCCGAAGTTCTAGTGAGAAGCCGTTACCAGTGGAGTTCAACCAGGTCTGTTGTGAGATAGGAACTCACTGAAGACAATGGTGTACGATAGCGCAACTTCGTGGATTGGTTGAAGTTAGACATTAACATCGTTGGATGCCGGCTCAGTGGTCTAGTGGTTAAGTGCTCGTGCGCGAAGCCAGTAGGTCCTGGGTTCGAGCCCCGGGTGGCGCGGGGTCGTGGATGCGCACTGCTGAGGAGTCCCATACTAGGACGAAACGGCCGTTTAGTGCTTCCAGGTTTTCAATGGTGGTCTAGCTCCAACTGACTCATGATTTCAATCTGTGGAACTTTAATACCATGTTGGTTTCATTTCGATAATGCAATGAGATGTAGTGTATCAGAATTATGTGATATATTTGTGCAATACATTTCGAACAATCTGATCACACATTACATACTTGTTAAGACATTTTTATATGAAAATTAAAAGGTCAACTAAACAGGTTAAAGGTAAGAAATAATAATAATATAGTACACAAAGACAATGTGATTAACAGTCTGGATAATAAATCAGTATTACCAGGGTAGGTTAAGTGTTAGGACAAACTGTTTTTGGACACATAAAGGTGGTTTCAATTTCCGTATAGCCAAGGTTTACCTTAGTATACGTCCGTGAAGGCTTTTGAATAACATTACAAATGCTGATTTGATGTCAACCTTTTGACTAGTTTCGATCAAATGTTAGCTTCAAACAAATCATAAAGTATGAATGTAATATATGTAAGTACAGAAGGGTTATAGACAAAGTATTACTTACAAAGAGAAATAAAGAAATTTCGTTACATAGAATCCGTATATATATAGGAATTGTTTTACAGCCTCTGAAAATGTCCTCCTGAGTTACAAATATTCTTAATTACTTTCGAGTCAGCCCCCCCCCCAATACAATGTTACACTTTGGTTTTACACAAGATTGTTTTTACCAACTTTAACATTATTTTAATAGCTAGAATATATATACATGAGAATATTAAAAAGAACAGAATACATTATACAACTGTTTCTAAGACATATCATTATTATTAAATGTAGGTTTTTAGAAAATAATCGAACTTATTCATTCATTATTTTTATTAACTTGTAGATTGATTCTTATTGATAAACGTTTTTGTGCTTCAGTATATTGTTCATTATATTTCATAGGCATATGAGATTCAATGTCTATTAGATCATCAATTAATTTTGATATAGAATTTGATGTAATCACTGGACATGTCATTCTTGATGACGATGATGCTGATGACGACGACGACGACGATGATGATGATACGTTGGATGATTTCATTGACATTGTAAAAGAAGTTGAAGTAAAAGAACGAATGAAATTTTCATTTGCTGAAATTTGATTACGTAAATTCACCATGAAATAACATAAATACTCAAAGAAATAATCCATTAAAACATGTAATTCCGATATAAATATTTCCAAATCAATAGTTGAATTCATCAAGTTATTATTATCATTATATTCAACAACTATTCGATTGTTTATAATATTTGATATGCATGATTTTCTTGATTCACATATTTCAACCATTATGTTGGATATCTATTGTTAAATTAGAATAAATAATGAATAAAATAAGATATTCATTCGCTGAGATTCTACAAATACATTCTCCCTTTTTAATGTCTCACATCAACTCGATGCCCAAATACCGTGAAACTATTCGATCCAATTTAGGCGAAAGTTCTTATATATTAACCAAACTTGAGAGTGTTTTTTTCTTAGTGAGAAATTCATATTAATTAATTAGAACAATTGTTTCATTTGATTTCGAACCTTTGAAGTAAACGAATGATTCGCATGATAAGAGTATCATCTTATCAGATGATAAAAGCTAAGAGTTCCAGTGTGAAAATTAGCATTGAAATACATGTAGACTCAACTGACGAATCACAAATAAGACGAAAAGCCCATTACATATAGAGTACAGGTATCAAAATTCAATTCCGAATATCAACAACACTGTGATTGAAACTCTTACTATTAATGATATAAACACCAGTTGATACACATGTAAACTCCGTAATTCAGTGAATAACGCTGTGATAAATTTACATTAACCTCAGAGGTCCTAAATAGAACAGAATACACGTTTTGCATGGCACTACCTGGTTGGCGTTATCCATCGACTATAAATATTATTTTCTCTTTGTCATTAATAATAAATCTATCAGTTCTGCAATTTTATGTTTTCTTAGAGTTAATCGACCATAATAATTCTCAGTTTACTAAAACCACTCTAAACAGGACGAAACTTGCATCCAGTATTCCACTGCAAGCCACTATTCACTCCTACTTACAATGCTTATAACTTAACGGAGATATCGAAACAATCCGCACAGGATGCACATATTACCAAGAATTGACTGAACAATTACAATCTTAAACATCAATGGGTAGATTTAAACAACCAATATAAATAAATTGGAACAATAAATGGTTAAATCAGTGGTCATAAATACTTTTATCATTATCATGCATAATTCGCGTGATGAATATACAAATAAAATGTTCGGTCACATTGTACAATAATTTATAAATCTCACTAAGTTCACAACTAGGGATTCTTTTAAATTCATAACGGAATAATGAATTGATAGGTCGTTGACTATTAGTTCCATTCAGTAAAATAATATGAAAGTAATGCATAACTCAAAAGAGAGATCACATTTTGGCGCATATATAAGACAGTGTACCATAGAACAGTCATAAGATGAATAATCATTTAGGAGATACAATCGTCTTTTTATCATTGGGGAGCAATTACTCATTTCATATTATTTTCATCAATTAGTGCCAACACAGGTAATCGGCCTAGTATCTGGTGTGATCACTGACATTATTACGTAAGAATAGTAAATCGACTTCAAAAAGAATAAAATCATTTTCCTGAGTGAATACTAATTATTGGTTCAACTGTTTGGTAATTTAACTAGAAATTATCTTCCAAATATTTCTTGAAGAATTGTTGTATATAATCGTCCGCAACTTAGAAGTAAATATTGATTATGATAGCTAACAAATATATTCTATGCTTGAACATTAAATGATGGCCTTTATCCATTTCTTGGATGATTTGCAAATGATTTTTGCTCTAATTTACCCCTTCTTTTAAGTTTTATTTCCTATGTTGCGGTGGTCTTACTAAAATCTCACTAGTAATCCTATAAAGCCCGTTACTGCTGTTCAATATGGTGTTCCTGATGACTCATAAACAATATCCTCCTTAAATTCGCATGAAATCTCAATAATACTGCATTATCACAAAGCAGCAGCCTCAGCAGCAGTAGGTCTCAATATACACAAAGGGAAAAGCAAGATTCTCCGATACAACACAACATGCACCAATCCAATCAAAATTGACGGAGAAGATTTGGAAGATGTAAAAACCTTTACATATCTGGGCAGCATCATTGATGAACAGGGTGGATCTGATGCAGATGTGAAGGCGCGGATCGGTAAAGCAAGAGCAGCATATTTACAACTGAGGAACACCTGGAACTCAAAGCAACTGTCAACCAACACCAAGGTCAGGATTTTCAATACAAATGTCAAGGCAGTTCTACTGTATGGGGCTGAAACCTGGAGAACTACGAAAGCCATCATCCAGAAAATACAGGTGTTTATTAACAATTGTCTACACAAAATACTTCAGATCCATTGGCCGGACACTATTAGCAACAACCAACTGTGGGAAAGAACAAACCAGATCCCAGTGGAGGAAGAAATTAGGAAGAAGCGCTGGAAGTGGATAGGACACACATTGAGGAAAGCACCCAACTGAGTCACAAGGCAAGCCCTCACATGGAATCCTCAAGGCTAAGGGAAAAGAGGAAGATCAAAGAACACATTACGTTGGGAAATGGAGATAGACATGAGAAAAATGAACAAGAATTGGATGGAACTAGAAAAGAAGGCCCATGACAGAGTGGGTTGGAGAATGCTGGTCGGCGGCCTATGCTCCTCGACGAGGAGTAACAGGAGTAAGTAAGTAAGTAAGTAAGTAAGTAAGTAAGTAAGTAAGTAAGTAAGTAAGAAGTAAGTAAGTAAGTAGTAAGTAAGTAAGTAAGTAAGTAGTAAGTAAGTAAAGTAAGTAAGTAGTAAGTAAGTAAGTAAGTAAGTAAGTAGTAAGTAAGTAAGTAAGTAAGTAAGTAAGTAAGTAGTAAGTAAGTAAGTAAGTAAGTAAGTAAGTAAGTAAGTAAGTAAGTAAGTAAGTAAGTAAGTAGTAAGTAAGTAAGTAATAAGTAAGTAAGTAAGTAAGTAAGTAAGTAAGTAAGTAAGTAAGTAAGTAGTAAGTAAGTAAGTAAGTAAGTAAGTAAGTAAGTAGTAAGTAAGTAAGTAAGTAAGTAAGTAAGTAAGTAAAGTAAGTAAGTAGTAAGTAAGTAAGTAAGTAAGTAAGTAAGTAAGTAAGTAAGTAAGTAAGTAGTAAGTAAGTAAGTAAGTAAGTAAGTAAGTAAGTAAGTAGTAAGTAAGTAAGTAAGTAAGTAAGTAAGTAAGTAAGTAAGTAAGTAAGTAAGTAAGTAAGTAAGTAAGTAAGTAAGTAAGTAAGTAAGTAAGTAAGTAAGTAAGTAAGTAAGTAAGTAAGTAAGTAAGTAAGTAAGTAAGTAAGTAAGTAAGTAAGTAAGTAAGTAAGTAAGTAAGTAAGTAAGTAAGTAAGTAAGTAAGTAAGTAAGTAGTAAGTAAGTAAGTAAGTAAGTAAGTAAGTAAGTAAGTAAGTAAGTAAGTAAGTAAGTAAGTAAGTAAGTAAGTAAGTAAGTAAGTAAGTAAGTAAGAATATGCAGTTAAGTATCGGGTTAAAAATGCAATAAAGCTCTAATGAACCAGAAGAGACCTATTACACTCCAGTTCACGTGTCCGTGTATCAATTCTTTAGGAAGCTTAAGGTGACTAGACTCATTAAATTGGACTAGTATTGAACACATCAGAATTTTTTGGAATATCTTACGGATAGTTATTATCCATATTTCCATTGTACAATTAAACTATTATAGTGCTCTATTCCTGTTATCGTAAGCTCTCATTAAAGATAATAATTGTTGCTACACTTTTTTTATTCCTAAATCATGGTTAGTCAATTTTTCACGGCTTGCTCTGTTCATTGCCACCTTTTAGCTTGTTTATATATAAACGGCGACTTTTATTTTGTAGGGTGATGCTTACCTTGACATCTGTAAATAGACGCGTGTATGTTCGAATTATGTTATTACAAGCTTTACCTACTGTATTTTAATATCTGGACTCAAAACTGGCATCAGAAGAATCAAGATTATCTCACCAGTCCTCAAGGTTATTCGTACTAGACTTAGCGTCTCAGTGGCCAAGTTAAGTAATCAATCGATAGATGGACTAACGTACTAGGGATCGAGAAGAATAAATTAAGATTTCGACTGATGCGTTTCCACTCTGGCTATTGATTAAAGGGATACAGACTAGCGAGCGCTATAATGCAAAGGAATTTTCAGAAATTCACAGTCACTATCTCAGGACATTCAAGCTTCACAGTGAGCCCGTTACCTTTAGACTATTGAGTTGATGTACAGTCGTATACTTCTATAACTCCAACCAACTATCTATATGGAATACAGTCACCCAACAACGTTATTGGGTAACTGTTTTACATCAATCATGGCCGAAATTCCCCAGTCATGATCTTTTGATAAAACTTTAAAAATCTTGAAACTAGTCACTAGTGAGCGTACGATTTCTGTTTGATAGATATAATTTATGAAAATCAATTGAAGTGGAATTTAGATTTCCTCACAGATTGATATCAGTTGAAGAAGTATTTTGAAAAAATAGGCAACACTGAACAAAAGTTTCATCCTGGTATGGAACTTCTCAGAGGTTATCAATCTGATGTGTGGGCTAGAATGATAATGATTGGTTGTTTGCTTAGTCAGACTTGTAGATAGTCTGATAGGTACTAGATGTGTTATATATTCTCTTACCCTTATTATTATTGTGATTGTTATTGGTTTTTGGTGCAGATATATACTTACTTAGGCTAATCATGTGTCCTTGATTTGTGTTGTGTTGAAGTCTTGTAGAATAGACACTTGAAGGGTATCTAGTGTAGATATTCGTCTAAGGCAAATTAACTTCCCATTCGTGTAAACAGTGAAAACCGAGCGTTATAATACAATCTTCACAAACCTCCTAATAAAATCCCATTATAGTTTTTGTGTTTTGTATGTATAATGCTTGGTGTATGAGGTGAGAATATCACACATTTGATTGTGTATATGATCATGAATACTTTTCTTGTCTGTAAAATTCATCATTTTACGGAATAATCAGTCAGAAACTCCGGATTTTTATTGACTCTTCAGTAGATGACAGTTTATAGTATATCTTCCAATTAACTAAATACTTCATAAACTGTTTTTACGAATAATTTGTAGTGTCAGTTATTATGTTAAGCTCATATACCTTATTCTAGGTTTTGGACAGACCATTTCATTCATTGTATTTGAGTCACATTCTGACCTTGTTATTTATTCGCTTATCAATCTTGACTGTTTTTATATGAGCGCATATATGCGTGCCTTTCTAATCACATTCATCACATGTCTGTAACTTATTTTTGTGTGGCTATAAATATTGATCAACGCTTGGTCAAATGGGAGTTGGCTTACCAGCCATCTCCACTCTGAGTAGTATCTCTTCTCTCTATTCCATTCGCTTCACATACAAAATATATGTATTCAAAAGTTCATTCTCGTTATTTGACTTATCTAAATCCGTTATTGACTAACGCGATTTAAGTCGATGATTATATACGAGAATAGGCGATATATATATATATATATATATTATATATATATATATATATATATATTTCAACAACAATCATCATTACAATCTCCTTGGAGTCGAATCACAGGCCACTAAAGTGAAGAGCTCTTTCGACAACATCGTTCGATCTAAACAACGACAAAATTACGGGCCTCCACAAAAAATTCAATAGATATCAATGAATATTATCGGAATAATTAGTAAATATTAAAAAGCCCAAATCAATAAATATGACTTTGATTACCTTGAATATGTAGTATACAACTGGTATTCCATTACTATTTTGATTTCTATATTTTAATATACTTCCAATGATAAAATTCATTTTATTACTTTCATCTTTAATCATTGTATGTAACCATTTTAATTGATTAATTAAATTGTCATAGAAATGATAATTTTCATTAATCACTTGAATTAAACGATTCAAACGATAATAATGAGTCAGTTCTGATAAAGTAGGTTTTTTAAGAGTTAATTCAATCTAAAATTCAATAAACAGTGTTTTATAGTACGTTGATCAAATCGTAATGGAAGATTATATATATATATATATATATATATAATTTATATATATATATATATATATACATTGACTGATCTCTGAGTACTGACCAGTGTCATTTTGTCGATTGGATAGGGCTAATAGAAGTCTATTCATAATGTTGCATTCTAATCACTTTTGGTGGTCGGTATTCCATATAATCCTTAAACTTCGTATACACTTCGTCTTGATAACCGTCACTAGATAACGCCCCAACGGTATATTAATCAGAAGGCGAATACGAAGTGTTGATTATGTTTATTATGGGACCACACACAGATATCCAAAATTACAGGTGCGTCAAACAAGCATGAAAGAGTTGTGCCAAAAAGCAAGCAGGCAAGAGATCGAGCGAGTGAGTTAGCGAATATGAGTACAAGTAAGCGAGTACAATTAAGGGAGAGAGAGCAATGAACATGAATAACATGAACATATATATATATATAGTGAAATGAATGAATCATCGAATCAATTAAACGGTCAGTAGTAAGGCTAGCAGCGTGAATAAATGAATAGGCAGTAAGCAATGCTCAAGAATACATGTTCATATATTCGCAACAATAATAAAGATACAATGATATAGATAAGTTGTTGTTGTATGGATGACTCAGTTCGTTAATAAGTTAACAAAATGACTTAACCGAATTAAATGTGAACCAACTCAAATGCGCGTGAGTTGCTATACACTCATCTAGATGATGAGACGCCGCATTCACTAAGTAATAGTTCTTGTATGTGAACGTTAATTCACTGACTTCTTAACCGCTTATTATTCCTAAGAAATCTCCTACTCTTAAACAGTAAAAAGAAAACAAAAGACTGGAAGTACGCAAGAAGCATTACTTAGTTTGTGCATAAAAAGAGAAAGGTATTTATAGGATTATATGTGACCATTTGATTCGAGAAGCTCCTGAATAATGTGTTAAAATTGGTAAAAATGTCGGTAGTTTTCTAGCATAAATAATAAAAACCTAATTCTTCCCCTGCAAGTTTCCAGAGAACTCTGATTGGACAAGATATTTTCAGTATTTTCTTGGATTTTTGACAACTTTGTGAGGAACTGTCTTGGTCGTCGAACATTAAGTTCCGATGTTACTTTATCGATAGTAATCAGGAGAAAACCCTGGAATTAAGTTACATGTACTAAGTACTCACCAACGATATAAGAGGTATGGAATCATCCTAGTTTCTAACTGAGATTAATTTAGTACAGAATTGTATTGCATTTTGGAGCGATTCACCACTATCTCCACAAAACCATACACTGACAATAGTCATCTGCTCATTAGTGATTTCCTTAAAGATGTGATTCACGGAGTTCTAGCGAGAAGCTATGACTAATGAAGCCTAACTGTATTGAGTATCAGACAGTTATCTACTCCAAGGAATGCAAGATGGTCGTCCATTACAGCGAATTGAATGAAGTTAAACGTGTACACCATTGGATGCAAGCTCAGTGATATAGAAGTGAGACACTTTTATGCGAGACTGAAAATTTTGAATTTGACTCATTGCAGTGGGGTAGTAGATCCACATTGCTAAAGGATCCCATACTAGGATGAGACAGATGTATAGGGCTTTATAGTTCTTAGTGGCGGTCTAATTAAGATGAGTTTGTGATTTATACTATCAAAATCCTATCATCTCACCAATGCCTCCATGAAATATTTCTGTGCAGATCTCAGGAAGTTGTCATCCTGATTGTTATTAAAAGGTAGAGAAAAGAAAATAATGAAACGGGAATAGTTACTCTCTAATAATGAATCAACTGATATAATTTTACTAAGTATTTCTCATTTAATCATTTTATGACAATTTAGAACTGGAATTAACATCAACTATGTATTATGAACACATCCAATGTAGTCCAGTTAGAGATGAAATTATTAAAATTACAGTCTAATATTGTAAAATTTATTCACTGAGAGAACTGGAAATAACCAAAAATGTGATGAATACAACACACGAGTTGAACATGAGGAGATTGAGGATAATCTTAATCATCAGCTTATTATAAGTAGATTACTAAATTTAAATGGAATAGTTTCTAGTTGTAAACTTATCGGCATTTATGAATTGTTGCATGTTATAGTCTAGTGCTTTACCTATTTGTTCATCATGTGAACTGATCACAATGAAAATAAAAGTACTCGTGACCAGTGTTTTACCATTTATTGATCTGTTTAAAGGGAAATTTCTTTTTTAAATATTGAAAATCAGCATAAACTATCAATCATTGCTTACAAATAGCTTGTGAATTAAGGTAATATCGAGGCATACTCACAGTATGCGCATATGCCAATAACAGACTGATCAATTGCAGTCTTAAACCTCACTGGGAAGATACAAGCCAAACAATACCAAGTGAATTCAAATTCACCCCAAGTGGCTATCAGGACTCAGTAGCTGAGTGGATAACGCGATAGCGTTTGAAGCGAATGGTACTGGGTTCGAGTCCCAGAGTGAACATCAACTCTGAGATGCAGATGACGAGTCCCAAATAGGACGAAAGGCGCGTCCTGAATTCCACTGCTAGCCATTATTCATCATTGCTTACAAATAGCTTGTGAATTAAGGTAATATCGAGGCATACTCACAGTATGCACATATACCAATAACAGACTGATCAATTGCAGTCTTAAACCTCAATGGGAAGATACAAGTCAAACAATACCAAGTAAAATAACATTTCGATAATGATATTAGAAGACGAAGATTATCAGAACTATGTGATATATTAGCGCAATACATTTCGAACAATCTGGTCACACATGCTTCATTCAAAACCTAAAGTACATGGAAACGATTGCGTCACATCCCACTGTGTTTACCAATTTAAATGTGTGTGTGGTCACACATACATAGGGAGGAGTAATCGTGATCTCAACATTAGGGTGAGTGAACATGTACCCAAATGGCTTCAGAAACAAATACAATCAAGTGACCCGATAAGAGCAGAGGATAAACATCCATCATCCTCTATTGCTAAACATATAATTGAAACAGGTCACAAGATTGATCTAAATTCAGCTTTTGTAGTGCTGTATAAAAGTGTAAAAGGGCGTATACTAAGGTTCATTGAAGCCTTAGCCATACGAAAATTCAAACCCCCTTTATGTGTTCAAAAACAGTTTGTTCTTACCTTAAACCTACCCTGGTAATATTGACTTATTATCCAGAGTGATTAGGTTTCAAATTGTGTTCACATTATTATTATTATTACTCTTAACATTATCCTTATCTCCTCTTACCCCGTTTCCTGTCTAGTTGACCTTTTATTTTTATATATAAATGCTCTTAACAAGTATATGTGTGACCAGATTGTCCGAAATGTATATCACATAGTTCTGATAATCTTCGTCTTCTAATATCATTATCGAAATTTATCAAAGGGACTAATTGTTTTAAAATAACATTGTTGTTCGATTTACTGTAAGCGATATAAACTATATAAATTATATGATGACTCTCATTACAATTTTTGTTGTTGTAAACTTATAAAGATAACTAATGATAATTCAAAGCTTACGAGATTGAATAAAATTACATAACAGTTTCTAAACAGGTTATTTATAAGTCAATTATGTACAGTATGTTTCTTTAATGATTGAGCAGTGAATAGTAATCAATATTAAATTTGTTTGATCATTTTTAATAATGATCAAATTCTATGAATCAGTTTGAGATCTGGTTACTAGTCTATACAACTCAACATCACATTTATCATATTTTGACATTACATAGTCAATCGATAGTGATCAGTAGAAAATATTGGGCATGTTAGTTAACCATCATTATCAAAGTGTATTCTAATGTTTATACTTGGATTACTGGAAAAAAACAAAACAATCGTAATAAAAAGTAGGTGTTTTAATCATTGTCTACCAAATTCATCTTAAAATAAATTCTAATAACCAGCTTTATACAAATAGGTATCTTGGGTAGAGAGACGTAGAATTTTAGTTACTCAGCTTTTGAAAGTTGACTTAATGAATATCCAAGTCTTTAAGATAAAAGAAATATTGTACTTAAACTTATAGAAGAGCATATTGTCTGATATGATACTAAATAATTACAATGCATTGTATTCGTTTTCTTTTTCATTTTAGTAACGAATCTTTAGGAAGAAGTACAATATATATAACTCAGTAAGTTAGTTATATATGTTAACTAAAGTAGCTAACCTGTTGATTTTATAAATTGTATACCTGCATCAACTTATTGCTTAGATAATGGTAACTACTGATGGACGGAAACCTGGAGAACTACGAAAGCCATCATCCAGAAAATACAGGTGTTCATTAACAGTTGTCTACACAAAATACTTCGGATCCGTTGGCCGGACACTATTAGCAACAACCAACTGTGGGAAAGAACAAACCAGATCCCAGTGGAGGGAGAAATTAGGAAGAAGCGCTGGAAGCGGATAGGACACACATTGAGGAAAGCACCCAACTGAGTCACAAGGCAAGCCCTCACATGGAATCCTCAAGGCTAAGGGAAAAGAGGAAGACCAAAGAACACATTACGTCGGGAAATGGAAATAGACATGAGAAAAATGAACAAGAATTGGATGGAACTAGAAAAGAAGGCCCATGACAGAGTGGGTTGGAGAATGCTGGTCGGCGGCCTATGCTCCATTAGGAGTAACAGGCGTAAGTAAGTAAGTAACTGATGGACCAGGACATTCAGATTTATCTATTGATCGGACATTTAAAACAATGTAGAACTTTATATTATATTGATGAATTGTAAATCAGTGTTTGATACATAAATAAATCTTCATCGACAGTCTTACTTTCTTTATCTCATTGAGCTATATCAAGCTTATTCCGTTGAACGAATAGCAGAAAGTAGTTATTTCTCTGTTATGACAAGTAACCATACCACCAGCAGACTTAAAATTTCGTTTAAGACATTACACAAATATTTACCGTCTA